CCACTTGAGTTTTGTTTTTTTTCCAACCTGTTCATGTGTTGCAGCAGCAGCAGCAGAATTTCTCTTGATAGCGTCCATAAGTTATGAAGAAAATTCCTTGCATTCCGTGTCAGGGAAAATCTGACAAACATATTTTTTCTTCAAACAGATGAAAACTTTATTCTCAAACATGACAGAGCGTTCCTTTTGTCAATGGCAAACCGAGGGAAACATACCAATGGTTCCCAATTTTTCATGTGAGTAGATGTAACACCACAGTTGAGCTCTTCTTAAACAGAGAAGCGCTGTTCATGAGAAAGATGGTATTGCTAAATTATCTATAACAATGTGATCCGCCTTCTTTTAAGTAGGGTTGAGTGGGTACCTGCAGGGTAAGCTCTAATAGGAAACATTAGTGACTGCAATTTGCTTGTGGCACTCAGTTGGATTAGAAGCTGGGACTACAAGAATGTTTCTTGCTCATTGCTTTTTACCCTAAAAATGTGGCTCATGCAATGACTTCTTGAAGCCTGGAAAATAGATTCTTTGCCTTTGTATGTGCACCAACCAAATCTTAAGAGATGACCTGCAAATTATGATGTTGAGCACTGTATGCAAAAGGGAGTGAGATCTGGAGGTGGTTTGTATGGTTTTGCATGTGCTCTTTAAAATATGAAAAATGATGATTTAGGGTTTTTTTGGGGGGGGATGAGTGGGAGTTTTATTGATTTGGGTTTATTTTTTTTTAATTTGGATTGTTAGTTCCTGACATGCTTTTCTTCTATCCTGCTGCACAGTCCTGTTATCCATGTACCAAGTATTTTGGTATCAACACTATGTAAAATTATGTGCCAATAATCAGATTTTTCCTTTATTACCTTAAAAAGTAATATATTCTAGTATGTAGCCACATTCTGTTAAATTATACAAAATGCATTAATACCATCAGTAAGGAGTCTGGTCTGATATGTCAGGGTCTTCTCATTAAAGTATTTGTTTTCTAGGCTCAGTATTTATTTTTTTAAGCTTTCTGAGTTTGATGTTATTATTCCTTCTGTCAGTTCCCTTTTAGAAATTGCCTTCTGTCAATGTTAAAAAGTTTGTATTTTGAAAGATCTGGACTTGTGCTGAGAAGAACTTGGTGAAATGACACTGTGTTCAAAAGTAAATTTTAGTTTCACTAGAAAAACTCCTTTTTCTTTGCCATCTTTCTTGGGGGATAGGAATGAATGGCGCTTCACTGTCTTCAGTAAAGGAGTAAATTGTCCTCAAGAATCTTTCTTTATTTCTTTGCCTGAAAAAGATCTTCAGTATGATACAATGATGTTCAGATAAGAGACATTTTTAGGTCTTTTCCTAAAGAATGCCCTAAAAATGGAAAACTAATAGGAACCTAAGAGGAAGTCTTATACAGTTTGAACTGTTCTGACTCTCTCTAGAGAAAAAGTCATGTAAAAAAACCAAACCCTTGTTTTCTGTTACCTTCAAGCCAAATTTAAGATGATGTAAGTCTGAATGGTTATACATACACATTAATATGGAAAACAAGATATATTGAAAAAAATCCCTTGTGATGTAATAAGCTCTCTGCAATAGATGGGTTTGCTGTTAATTACTTGGTGACTTATCTTTTGGTGCTTATGAGAATTTTCCATTTTTAAGCTTATCTGAACAATATACGTGAAAACTTAATGGTGTTTCATCAGTCAAGAAGCTGTCATTTGAGGGCTCTAAAGTTTCTTTTCTCCCTTGCATTTCATTCAGAAGTCAACTTCTTTCTCTTATGCTTAGTAGGCTCAGATTACTTGTTCAATTAGATTTAACACCTTGTCTCTCCCCACGCACCAAAGCAACCTAAGGTCATGTTAGATGCTAAATTGTAATTTACACAGGACAATAACATGAAGAGTAGAGCACTTTAATAAAATACAGATGTCTTTTGAAAGGTGCAGATGTCTTCAAAAATTATTATTTTTTTCATAACATCACAGTAAAGTGTTAGTTTGGTGGGAATTCAGGCAGAGTAGGATGCCTAAACATAGTTGTCTTCTTGTAAACTAGATTCATCTGAGCTGCCTACAGGAGTCTAAAGCAGATTTTGGTGTCCTGGGGTGTCCTGCCTGGCCTTCAGCTGTTGGAAGAGAAGTGTGGGGATGTTCTGAAGGTCTTAAGTCTTACCAGGCTGCCCCATGCAGATTTCTTGGATGCCTTCTGGTGTTTTAAATGGCACCAACTTGCCCTGGAGTCAGTCAAGTGAATCAAGCCCAGGACTAAACTCCCAGTATAACCAATGGGGTTTAGGTGGGCAGCTCTCTAAGGCTTTAAAACATGCTCTAGTGTTCTAGATTTGACCCCCTTGACCAGGGCTTTTTTTCATTTTACTGCCTGCAGACATACAATGCTGTTCAAGACACTCTTGGGAACTCCAAGATCAGGCATGTAAATATGTTGTAGCTCCTGCAAGACACCATGTGCTCCTGGTGTAGCAGCTGGAAGCCAGGCAAGATCCAGGAGCACAGCTCAAGATACTTCTGTGTTGGCAATTCAATATTCTCCCTAGATGTGACCAGCAGCTGAGATGCTGAGCTCACAAGTTTCTGCATTTAAGCTGAATCCCACCTTTGGCTTCCAGTACTGCAGCTGATCCTGGGAATGCATATATAAAATTGCAGAAGCCACTGAATGTGGTTGTAAAGGCAGGTATGTGTGGACAGTCAGCTGCAAAGTCAGGTTCATGTTTGATAACTTGCAAATAGGCAAGGGTGGATGATGAAAGACATAGTTTAACAGTCTGTCTTGTGTAGTTTTTTTAGTGGTGGAACTTAGGTTCTGCTTCACAATGTGGAGAGTTTGAATTTCAAGGTTCAAAGTCAGAAAGAATTGTCTAAGCAGTTTCTGACTCTACCTTTAAAATGCAATATTCTGAAGCAGTTAGTCTTGCTTGGTGCCATTTGTCTGATTACTTCAGGGAATGAACTGTGCATACAGTTTTTCTTTAATAAAATATCCTTGTTTCCTTTAGTAATATACTTTGAGCTGAAATTTAAATGTTTCTTATACTCAAAAGAATGCTCAGTAGTTTATCATGAGGAAAAATGTTGTTCAGATGTGTAACCTGAAAATTATGTGAAAGGCAGTCAGCAGTGGCAGACTTCAGATGAATTTTTTAATGGTTTCAACATGCTTCATTTTCTTGATTAGATTTATAGAAGGAGAAATAGTTTATCTCCATCTGAACTTCTTTAGATATTTGCATTTTTGTCATAGAGAACTGCAGGGATGAGAACTCTTGTATTTTTCTCTAGGATAAATGTGTCTAGTGTAGCAGATGAGCAGTGCACATAATTTTTTTTTACTTTTATATAATCATTTCTCCAAGTAGGGCTAAATAATAGGAAGAATCCTGACTATAAGTTTTGCTTGCTCATCAGAAGTGCTTTCCCTGCTTACCACAGAAGTGGTATTTGGAATAGCTAGTGTTTATAGAGAGTGATTAGGCAGCAAACACCTCTTTGACAGACTCCACAAACAAACTGGGCACAGCAAGACTCTGTGCCACAGCATATGCCTAAAAACTGTTAAAAGTTGAGTAACAGTGTGGTCAGTTCTACTTGAAATCAAAGCTCCAGGCTAATCTTAATGTAAGCAATTATCTGACCAATCTTAAAGTATCACCAGGTTTCTTTGATTCATCAGGAGTTTCTCTAGCATGAATGGTTCTGAAGCATTTATAAGCAGCAATAGAGTGAGACACTGTAAAAAGAATGAGTATAAATGAAAGCATTGGTAGAAACTGGAAAGGTGCAAAAGTAGAATAGAGTCCAAGTGTGTATGTGTAATGTCAGAAGTGATGTATTTAATGCTCATTGGCTAATTTTCCCCACTTCTTTTTTCTTACTTTAGTAAGACTTAACAGTTGGGTTGAAAGGAAAATGTTTACCCAGGGCAGGATTGTTTTTCATGCATGTGCACTTTAAATAGGGCAAGTGTAAGAAACAATTCCTAGGCTGAAGAAAGGGATCTTGTTGAAATCCAGCAGAGAGGATACAAAGACTATCCCTTTATACTGTTTGGATTTGTGAAATACTGGAATTGCAGTTTTCTGTGCCCAAAGGGATCTGTTGTAGCATTCTATTGCAACTTGTGTTGAAGTCAGTCAAAAGGTACCAGTTCATAAATTAGCTACTTGTTTTTTCAGAGAGCACCATTCAATTCCTTTCTGTGAATAACTTCTTTTAGGACCATCAGTTATTTAGCAAGTGTTCTAAACACCAACCCGAGTGTGTTAATCTTCTTTTGATTGTCCTGTTTGCATGTTGATGCTTGGATATGAAATCTCAAGGATGGGGTAGAGGTTGACAGAAACCACTCTGAAATCATCATCTTTATTCCATATACACCAGTATCTGTTTTGAATTGCTGCTGAAAAGATAATTATTTTTATTATTAGGTACGGGGGAATGGGAATAATTGGCTGCTTCTTGGACACTGCAACTCGTGGCTGTGTTACCTTTTGGGGGACGTTCTTGAGCAGTGTATTTAGCTTCTCAGTGGAGCTGATCTGATAATGGTCTCTTATCTCTAGAGAAACCCCATCATGCCTGTGGCAGGTTGCTAGTAAGGCAAGTTGCAGTACAAAATCCATGAAATACTATAAAATTAAGGAGACTGCTGATCCTACAGTGCTTGCATGGGCTTAACTTTGTTTCCATGGTCATACAAGATCTGCCAAGCTACACTTAGTAGAAGAATAGAAGTGACTGTGCAGAGTGAGGCATAAATAAAACAATAGGAGGCAAAAAAAAAAGTAGCAACCACCCTCTTTGTTGTTGTTGGGAAGTTTTGTGTAATAATTGATTTACTGTCTTCTTGTTTAGCCATGTAGTTTACTGAGGAATATGTTCTTATTGCAGCTTTAGAGGAGTCCTCAGTTATGTTCCTTATCAGTTCAAATGCTTGGGGAGCTCTTGCCTCTACTCCAAAGCTATTTAAAACTTGAGGCTATTTTGATATTACTGCTAGATTTTTATTTTTCATATTGGGAGGGCATTGTTGGTTTAATGTGTGTCTCAAACTCTGCTTTCTTGCTCAAAACTAAACAGCTTTGTTTTTGGAAAGGTTCCTAATGTGTTGTGCCATGCCTAGTTACTAAATTCAAACAAACTAACCACTTTGATATGCTAAATGAAGGATAAAATAAATTGTGAGGAATTTTTTGTTTTGATTTTACAAATTATTTCTGAATATTACCAGCTTATTAGAAGTGGTTCATTTCTAAATCTTTTTGGTGTCCCAAAACAGGGGTTTTTTTCTAATCAACAGTTAATTATTTTTTACTGTGAGTGAGATACCTTAGAGCAAATTTTTGAACAGTTGACAATAATATCTAAAAACCTGAAAGCTTCAGATGAAAGGGGCTCATGTTACATTATCTTTGAATAAAATGGTCTCTACACTTGTCACACAAGCAGGTCCCATTAGCTTGATCAAAAATATAGGGATGAGCATATCCCTTGTGGAAGCATTCACAGGATGCTGTTAGGTGAAATAAGAAACAAATGGGTAATTTAAACACTTGGATATGCAGAGGACATAATTAAGAGCTAATAGATTATTTAGGAGAAAAAAACCAAAACAAACATGATAAGCTGAACTGATCATGCAGTTTTAAACCATTGCTGCTGTTCAGAATGATACCAGAGGAAAAGGATGGTGTTAATTGGTGCACATTTTGTATTTTTCCATCTGCAACGTGAGTTTTGGTAATTCTGAACACAAGCAATCTAATAACAATGCATGTATTTTACAGAAAACACCTGTTTTTCCTAGTTTTAGAAAAGCTTCATAATACCAGGAAGATGTCAGCTAACTAGGAAATGTATGGAATTGTAGACTTTACTGCCTTAGCACATTGAATTTGTAAATCAAAACATATAAGCTATGGTGGGCCATCCTATGAAGTATCATGTCCCTGGGACTGGATTCAGCAGAGCATTTGAACACCAATGTAACTGCAAGCATGTGAATAACCCCAGGGAAGCCAGTTATTCATCTGCTTCAAGTTGTGTGTGTGTGTTCTAACACTTTGGTGGATTGAGACACAGAGGGGAAGTGGGAGGATTCTCTTATCTAACATTTCTGTTTGTAACAGTGTATGCAAGCAGGTCATGTGTGTAGGGGTTTTTTTTTGTTTTGAAGGAGAACTTCCTGTAGCTTTCAAAGTACCTGTATGCTAAAGAAAATTTAGAGCCCTCTTTTAGGCATCCTTGTTCTGCATACAACTTGGTTTGATATTAATTTTAAACTTGTATGTAATAAAACATAGACTCAGTTTTGTCTGAAAATGTATTACAATTTATTTCTGCCATTTTTGTGTAAAATTTACAGAAACAGTGTTACATCGTGCGCTCCAAAGGTAATGTCTCATTCCTCTAAGGCTGTGTCCTTTCCTTTTTTTTTTCCTGTTTTAATCTTTCTTGTTTTCTGATCATATTGTTATGTGCATTGAATCCTTTGTTAGGCCTGAGATTCTTGGGGGGTGGGTGGGATCTTATAAAAAAAACGATGCTTTTCTCTTGAGCAGTATCTTAAACCAATTTACTTTTAAATTTGAGTGAAGAAAAGTATTTGTCCTGTAAATAACTTGGATGATAGTTATCCTTATGACATGTTATAAGGCAGATTTAAAATGTTTTAAATTATAAAAGTTCTGTAGATAAATGTTTTAATAAAATATTTGGGGGGGGACGGGGAGAGGAATTCATGATGAGTTAAAGTTTCTATAGTGCAAAGTAGATTTTCTCCTGCTTAAATGTTGAAGCTAAAGCAAATGTGCAAGACTTGAAAGGTAGAATGTGTGCAGCAAACTTGGAAGTGGGCTTTTAAAGGGCACCTTTGCAGAATGAATGTCATGTCACAACCCTTACCTTGAGGTGAGGAAACATTCCAAAGCCCAATGAGAACCTGTGTTCCTGCTTCCCATGGGAAGTCAGTTGAGTCACCCAACTCCTCATCACAGATCTGGAAAGTTTTCTTTATGGATAATGCTTCTCCTTGTGTTTTCCCCTCATGAACAAGAAAATGAGAAAAATCCTATCCATTCTCTCTATCAAATTCCCAGTGTAATGGAAGAAACCTCTACATGGGTTTTAATGTACCAGCTATTCTTTGCTTTGCTTACTGGGGACTAGGCTAGACAAAGTAGATGCTCAGGTAATTTGCTTAATTGGACTTCAAGTGCTTCTGCAACATGGCAGGAGCACATTACCACAGCATTCCTAGCAAGTCTGTTTGAGCCTATTGCTGCTTCTAGCTAATTCTAATTACTAAGTCTTGTTTATTATTGATTTCATTGGAGTAAACCAGTTCTCTTTTTTCCTCACTCTTTCAAATTAGTTTTATAATTAAGCCCACTTAAACTGTTGACTTAACAGCAGGTTGTTAATGCAGTTAACTTTTACTTAAAGAACTTCAAAAAAATCTGTAAGCATTTTTCTGTCTATAGCAATAGGCTGTATTAGCAAGGGAAAACCAAAGAACACCCCATCAAATTGAGACATTTAATGTTGTCTGGATACCAATTATTTTCCCTGTGTTAAAGCAAGGAAGCTTTCTGTATTATTTAGTATTGCAGAAGTGGAAGGTCTGCTTGGCAGTTGGAGCTTAAAAAAAAAAAATTAAGAGTGTAAACACTCTTTGGCATGCATTCCAGCACTGCAGTGTTTTGTGACTTCAATAGTTCAAAGTGAAGATACATGCTTAAGAAGTGCTATTTTATTATAGCAGTGAGAAACTGACTTCATTGTACTACGCTGGTGTTACTGTAGAAAAACAAACATCTGTGATTGATGATTTTGAGACAGGGGAGTGGAGTTTATTGGAAGAAAGCTAGAGAAGCAAAATAGTACCTGGGGAGGTTTGTTCTGTTGTTTTTTAATAATTATTATTTTCAAATATTAAAATAACAAAGTGCTATTTACCTTGATTTATTTTTTTTTCTTCCTCAGTATATAAGATAAATTGAAGTTCTGTTGTTCCTTACTGAATTTGTCTGCATGGTGGCTTAATCCTTTAGTTTTTCATTACTAATATTTTGAAATCATTAAAATAACAAAGTGCTATTTACCTTGATTTATTTTTTTTTCTTCCTCAGTATATAAGATAAATTGAAGTTCTGTTGTTCCTTACTGAATTTGTCTGCATAGCAAGGTTCCCTGTACTACATCATGCAGGCTTACTTGTCAAAGTAATTTCCTTTCTTCTTTGGAAAGGGATGTAGAGAGAGACCAGGTCACTGCATTATGATCAAAAAGATGAACCTGAACATATCATTATAGATGCACAGCCTTGAATATTCCAAGTTGGAGTCCACTCAGAAACTTGGCATAACTCCAAATGTCTTTTAGGGTAGTGTTCAAGATGCAATGCAGTTGCATTTCTCCTTCAGGCTAGAAACAGCTAAACGTGGGAAGCTGAAAAATAGGGAGGAAATGTGCATGAATCACAGAAGGAAACTGCAGGGTAGCAAATCACGTCTGCTTGCCTTGTGCTGCTGTTGCTTTTGGGAAGCCTGTCAGCTTAGGAGCTGAGGTGCTGTAGTCTTCATGGTTAAAGACAGCAGTATTGCTTTGTGTTCTGAGTCATGAGGCCAGTAAGTAAATGAAAAGGAAGAAAATAGCAGGGGGGGAAGCAAAGAATTTATCACATATGAAATAGCTCTCTTAAATAAACTTGACTTTAAAGTGACCTTGTAATGTAAGAACCTAACAATTATCAGAAACATTTAAATTCCATTAGTTACCCAGTATTTACTGCCAAATTGTATCTCCTCTGTGATTAAAAATGTTAATGAGTTATACTTGAATGTGGATTTAAAGGCTCTTATTTGAAGATTGTTTATTGCATGCATAAAGTGGTACTTGGTACAACCTGATGCACAGTTAGCTAAATTTAAAATTCATGTGAAAGGTTTTTTAAGCCTGTGTGTATAATCTTTAAAGATTTATAATTCCATGTATGTAACTGGATTTTTTCACTATTTTTGTCTTACCTTCACCTCTTTTTTTTTTTTTTTTCTGTGCCATTCTTCTCTTTTACTTCATCTGAATCCCTGATTTCTTTTTTTTACCATCTCGCTGTTTGTCAAACAGAACAACAAAACCTGCTCCTCATCTCGATGGGTAAGATTCCTTATAGTTTCTCCAATGATGGTTAATAAGTCTTCACATTATCTTGAAAGTAGACAACAATGCGGAACAGATTCTTAATTCTGTGAAAGATTATACAATAGAACAAGATGGAAAACATAAGCTTTTGTTCTATAAAACTTTCAAGTTGCAACTTATTTCCTAGAGCTGGTCAAAAACTTAGAAGGTCATAAATCTTAACAGTAATTTATTTCAAAGTGCTTGCTGCCCTCAGTCCATAATTCAGTGAGTTGAAGCTTTAAGTTTAATATAGTTGGATAGTGCTCCCTTTTGTGGCATGTTTTTTGTCCCCAGAATATATTAGTTCCTGGAAGTAGAAGTTGTGGGGCAAATGGAAGAAGGGCAAAGAAGTGTGTGGGAGAACAAAACTGGGGTGTCCTTAATTGTAACTGTCCCTGCAGTGCCAGAGGAAATTTGTATGCTGAGTTTGTATAGACCTATAAATGCTTCTTTGGAGAAAACTGCACTTTGACATCTCTTTTTATGAACTCTTGATCTTTTTATTGCACAAAACTCTGAAAATAGAAAGATGGATTAGAAATGATGATCTGTTTACCCTGCCCATGCAGAACTGGGTAGAGTGACATCGAGTGTTTCTCTCAGATGGCACTGGAGTGGAACACTGCTTCTTGTTACATGTTGTACCTCTAAAAGTAATAAAAATCTTATTTTTAACTTTAATACAATTTAAGAGCCAGATGATGCAAGTAAAGCTGAATGTTTCTGTTTCAGAATGTTTTAAATCTGAAATTCATTAGAAAGTAATTCCAGCAATACATGAATGTTTATACTTTCCACATATTTTCTTTCTACAGTGTACACGTTGTCTTTGGACTGGTTATTTCTGGTTTTGAAGTAATAGAACAAATAGAAAATCTGAAAACTGACACTGCAAGTAGGCCCTATGCAGATGTACGAGTTATTGACTGTGGGGTGCTTGTTACAAAATCAGCAAAGGATGGTAAGTTTACGTGTACCTGAAGCTAATGGAATATTGACTTTGGAGAAAGCATAAAACCTGTGCCAGCATCTAGAAATGAATATGGTGAATCTCTAGAATTTTAATTCTTCCAAACCTTTAAAACTTAAATCTTGGTGAAGGTGAGAGAGACACAGCAAAGGAGAAAGTTTTCTCACCTAAACCTTTGTGCCTTGGAAAACACATGCCTGCTTCCTGTTCTCCTTCATTAATGTTTGAGGTGAATATGACACACTCAGAAAGTAATTAAAAGTTATTCTGAGTTTGAAAGACAGAGACACAAACAAACTTCTCTTGAAGTTGAGTTTTGTGCTGTTTCCAAAGGTTTTATTTTAAGATCATGTAACAATATATGCAATACATGTAGTCAACAATTTTCCTTTTCAGGAGAATTCAAAGGGAATAAGTTATCTTATAGATATGTTTGGACAGTTGCTGTAAAGTGATGGAATGTTTTCAGTTTGAATTTTCTGCTTGGCTTTTCACTTTCCTTAAGGATAATATGATTATCTATGTCCCTTAGTGAAAGTCAAGAGGATAGATAATGTAAACGAATGAGAATGCAGAAAGGAGAGAATGACAAAGATTTAGAAAATAAACTTACACTGCTGAGGCTGAGACTAATTCTTGCTTAAATTTTATTCTGTAACCCATGCATTGCTTTCTAAAGGTGATTCTTTTTTTCTAATATAAATGTTTTTTGCTTATCTGTGTATTCTGTTCTAATCCAAACATGTGAATTCAGTATTATAACATAAAATTCAAGGGAGGAGATGAGGGGAGCCCTCCTTCTGAGAATGACACTTAATGCTCAGCCTTTTTTATATTAGCTTGGCACAAGTTACTGCTTAACTTCAGTTTTAAGCTTACTGTGTTAATTTAAAAATGTGTTGGCTTTGCAGTCATACGTTGTCTTCTAGGCTGGAAGTTGTGCATGGAAGTTCTTACAGTTTATTTCTTAGTTGTAAAACAAATTCCTTTAGTTGCCATCTTTGCTGTCTTTTACTGGGGTGCATTTAGACAATTGCATGACTTTTATTGTGCTTTATTGCAACTCATTGTGAAAAAAGCTCATAGAGCTCCTCTGAAGCAGTATGTTTGTATTTATCCAGATATAAAACTGTATCTACACACCACACACTTGCACGTGGACACACTAAATTTTAACTATCTGTTTTAAGCTTTGGAGAAGAAGAAGAAAGTAAGTTCTGACTCAGAAGCTTCAGCCTCCTCCTCCTCCAGTGCATCGAGCTCTTCAGAAACTTCATCTGAAAGTGAAGCTGAGAATGAGAGAAGCAGAAGAAGGAAACGTAAGAGAAGAGCTAAAACCAAACAATCAAGAAAACGGAGGAAGGAAGAGAGAAAGAAGGAGGATCCAAGGTGCAAGAGAATCTCAAACCAAAGACGGTGACTGGTCTCTTTTAAATTTAAGATTTTTTGAAGAATCTGAGACATTCTAGTTTGTTTTTTGTTAAGCACTCGAGCAATTAGTATGAAAGTGCTTTTATTTCTATGTTTGGATTTTGGTGGTTGATTTTGATAAACCAACAAAAAAGAAAGCTGAGCCTGTTAGATTACTTTTTCTGTGAGACAGCTTAAAGTATTTGTAGATAGAAGCTGGAGTGACTCTGAAGTAAGCATCAGCATATTGAAGTGTTTAGACCTGTGTTATAGTGAGACATGAGGCAAATAGATCTTTGATTTGTATTTGATTATATTTCCAAAATACTTCATGACAAAGGGCAAATGAAAAGCAAAATGATTTGCTGTCAAGTGAGAGCTGAACCTTCTTTCCAGTAACAGTGCACCATCCTTCCTTTAGCATAAAATGAATCATAGAATCATAGAATGACTTGGGTTGGAAAGGACCTTAAAGATCATCTAGTTCCAACCCCCTGCATGGGCAGGGACACCTCCCACCAGACCAGGTTATTGCAAGCCCCATCCAACCTGCCCTTCAACACTTCCAGGGATGAAGCAGCCTCAACTCTGCTAGGAGTCTAGAGTTGTTAGTAAAATATATTTTAGGTTGTTCAACCATCTTAAGGCTCAGTGCATAATCTGTCCTTGTTTTGGAATTTCCTTTGAAAAGTGGTGCTTATCAGTTGCTTGTAGATTTTGATGGATCAACTTCCTCTTCCCCACAGCAGCCTTTCTGACAAGAGTGACATAACAGAGAAAGCAGCCGACGTTAGCACCAAGAGGGACAAACCTGTGGTACGTCCTGAAGAAATTCCTCCAGTGCCTGAAAATAGATTTTTGCTAAGAAGAGATGTGCCTGTTGTCAATGTAGAACCTGAACCGTAAGAACCATTGAGCTTTATTACCTTCACTTTGCATAAAACTGTCCTGCTAAAGCTGGATTACTGGGACTGATAGCAAATGCTGCATGTGGTGTCAGATTATCTGTATGAGGTCATTTAATTGTCCTGTTAACAGTTTCCTGTGTAATATTCCTTACAGCCTGTGTCAGGGTTTTTTCAGTGAAATCTAATGACTTAGGTTTTTTTGGTCCTTAAGGATCATGCATGTTACAACCTTAAATTGATTTAAGTGATGTAAAAAAAGTGAGTGAATAATTCCAGAAGAAATTTTGTCATGTATACTATAGGAAATATTTGATTGCAAGGTAGCCTGAATTGGAACAGGTGATTTTTCATCTTTTTTTAGACTAAAGGAGAAACTCTGGTACAAAATCATAGAATCACAGAATGGTTTGGAATGGAAAGAACCTTAAAGATGATCTAGTTCAAACCCCCCTGTCATGAGCGGGGACACCTCCCACCAGACCAAGGATAATTATCTTCCACTAGTCACGTGTAATTCTGGGACCTGTCTATGATTTTGAGAGCAAGAAAAAATACTCTTGGTACAAAGGAAGCAATGAGTTCACAAGTTACTTTGAGTTTGTGTTTTGCACCTCTGCTAAATTGCAATGAGGTTCTTCTTTCTATCAAATTTCTTCACTTTTGGTCTTTTTGGAGCTGATACATTACATTGCTAGATAGTTCTAAAATCAGATTGTGTGGGGTTTTTTTTAATTTCAGTTCATGGTATGGTCTCCTGTAAAACTCTTATTGAAACATTAATTTACTCATGTTTCCAAGGCCTTAGTAACTGCTTCCTCTGAGTATATTAAGCAAACTGTAAAAAGGAGAAGCAGTCCTGAGGAGAAGGACCTGAGGGTGGGAGGAGATGAGAAGCTGGACATGAGCTACCAGTGTGCACTGGAGCCCAGAGAGCCAATTGTGTCCTGGGCTGTGTCAAAAGAAGTGTGGCCTGCAAGGCCAGGGAGGGGATTCTGCCCTTCTCTGCTTTGGTGAGACCCAGCCTGGAGTACTGTGTACAGCTGTGGTACAGGAAAGACATGGAGCTGTTGGAGAGGATCCAGAGAAGGACCATAGAGATGATGGGAGGGTTGGAGCAGCTGTGCTCTGGAGACAGACTGGGAGAGTTGGGGTTGTTCAGCCTGGAGAAGAGAAGGCTCCAGAGAGACCTTAGAGCACCTTCCAGTGCCTGAAGGGGCTCCAGGAAAACTGGGGTGGGGGTTTTCACCAGAGGGGGTAAGGGGTAATGGTTTTAAACTGGATGAGAGGACATTTAGGTTGGACATCAGGAAGAAATTCTTCACCATGAGGTTAGGAAGGTACTGGAATAGGTTATCCAGGGAGGTTGTGGAAGCCCCTTCCCTGGAGGTGTTGAAGGGCAGGTTGGATGAGGCTTGTGCAGCTTGGTCTGGTGGGAGGTGTCCCTGCTCATAGCAGGGAGGGTGGAACCTGATGATCTTTCAGGTCCCTTCCAACCTTAGCCCTTCTGTGGTTCTGTGAATTACCTGTTGTGCTTAGGAAAGAACCAAGGCTTTAGAACCTTTGGACTATGGTGAATTGCCACTCCCTGTCCATGTTGTCTTCATGATCTGTGCACCAAACACAAGTTAACCTCTTTAGGAAAGCAACATGCCAATTTAGCTTTGCAATTTCATTGTTAACATTTACACTTAGAGAGGTCAGGCTATACATTTAGTTTAAAGCAAGTATATTTTGATTTGTCTTTGGTTTCAAACTGCATGTTTTGTTTTACTTCCCGGAGAATTCACTGAATTCTCAATTCTGCTATCTCAAAATAAATAAGATTAATATTTTGCAACATCAACTTAAATATAGTTTTACTTAATTTTGGGGGCTTTTCTGTGTAACCTCATATTGTATTAATTTCTGTAGGAAGCTTCTTGATGCTACACCAGCTCTGACTGACCAAAAACCATCAGTCTCCAAATCTGGACGAAAAATTAAAGGAAGAGGCACAATAGTATGTGACAATTATTTTTTTTTCCTTTCCTCTCACCCTTCTCTGACCTTGAGCTTTGAATTTCCTTGGGGGCTTTGTCAACCACATGTTGTAGACTCTAGCTTAGAAGGTTTAAATATTGTATTACAAAATGAGCTACCTGACAACTTTTTTTTTTTTTTTTTTTCCCCTTGTCATTCTTGTTACTGTATTTTTACTTAAAGATGGTTTGGAAAAACACATTATTAGTCCCCAGTTATGAAAAGTCTTCATATATAAGAGTAAATGTATTTCTTTTTGAGGGTGGAAGTTAGTTCAGTCAAATTCATCCCTCATGAGCCACAAGATCTAAAGTGATGACGAGTGACAAGAGCTTTTACTCTTATGCACTCATTGGATTTTACTTCTGATGTGTATTGCTTATCCTCCCAAGCTCTGGTATTTGCACCTATTTCTGAGAAACAACCATTTTGTCAGCTCTGGCAGAATCACTTGCATTGGTTTGTTCTGCTTTTTGACATTTTAAGTCAACCTTTTGTTTTGTTTGGTTTTTTTTTTAGCTACTTAATGTAGATAATAAAACTTTTATCAGCAGACCTAGCTGAGGTGAATGAAGTCTGTGTAATTTCAGATGACCCTGCATGGACAAGAAGTTACTACTTTGCAGTGTTGGTATTGAAACATTTTTACAGATGTATAGACTTGGTCCTTTCCTCTACCTTCCTCCCTGAAGGCTGCCACTGTTTATGCAGATTGCATGACTGCTTCAAATTATTTGGTATCCTGAAGACTTCTTTTGTCTTAATTCCACTGTACTCAAGTTTTCTTGTCTCTTTTCTACTAACCCACAGTACAGGGTCCAAAATGCTGCACAGCTGCACTATAGTTTTCCAGTCAGTAGAACAGGGAGAAAGTAAGAAGAGTTTTTGTAACTCTGTGCATTTGATTCTGAAGTATTTCATATTCTAGACTGCCATGACAGAGCATATTCTTCCTATTCAGAATATTTTCCTGGGTCCATTTATCAGGTTGTATTTGGGTAACCATAAAACAAACCCAGGTTTAGTCCTATCAGATTTTTTTTTTTCTGCAAGTGGAAGTCCTCAGAAAATAGAGATCAGTATCTGTGTGGCTGAAGACACTTTTCATTAGAGTGGTCTTAACTGAGACTCCTGAGTTTGCTTTCCTCATGTGAAGGCCAGTGGGTTTGAGAAATACTTTTCTACTGATCCCCAAGGATGCAGTTATTTTAAGCCACAAAGTGGAACACCTTAGATGTCCATACCATGGACCAGGGTCTTGCAGAACCAGTCCTGATTTACCATCCTGGACAGTCAATCTGATAGCTGTATTGGTTACATCTGACAGCTTTAGTTTGTCTGGAAAAGGAGCTTAAGGCTGAGTGGAATTAGCTTTCACCAGGAATTTGGGTATCTGGATCTTATTTTTCATAGTTTGGGCATCCTCTTGGCAAAACTAAGAATGAAAACCAGTAGTATCAGAAATAATGTAAAGCTAGCAATTAGTTGGAGAAACATATTTTTCTACATCTCTAATAGTCTGATTGGCAACAGTTTCTATCCAGGGTGAACTTGTTTGCTGTTTTTCAAAATACTTGTTGGCAGTTTTGAATCCTCTCAGATTCTGAGAGATACCCGAATTTATATCCTATGAGAGAATTAGGAAGGAGCATGAAACTTCCACAACCTGTTACATGCCATTCATCTGTAAAAGTGTGCTGCTGCTTTTTTTAAGTAATCATTGCTTCAGCTCAAAGGGTAGGGAAGACCCAGATCTTCATGACAGATAATTTTTTTAATATAAGATGTCTTAAAGACTTGAGCCTGTAATTAACTGAATAAACTAATATATTAATATTTCTTGGTTTGTGGGCAATATTTTTTCTACAGCTTCCTTACTTTTATAAGTGGCTCAAAATAATCAAGTGAAATCCAGATGTTTTTGAGTCAAGGGTCATCTAATTTCCTCACAGAATTTACCTAAGTGTGTGGAAAATAACAAGGTAGCAACATAAAGTTTTTCTCTACTGCACAAGTAGCTCTTATTGCCTTCTTAAAAACTATGTGCTTAAAAATATATGGGCTTTTTTAAGTATGAAGCTTCATTACACTTCTGTGAAAGATTTTTGGTTTTGTTTTGCTTGGAAGGGATTTTAAACTGGATTCCTATTTCTGAAGAGCTGAACAGCACTAACTTTTGGAATAGGGCTTGTCTTTACTTATACAAGCAGTTAAGTGTCTGCTGACTGAAATGGAACATCTGTGCTTTAGTACCCTGAAAAAATAGTTGGTTATTTGCAGTAACTGTTACTCCAAAAGGTGTTCTCTAAAGGGAATCTGTGACCTCTTCTGTGATTCTTTTACATTTTGTAAAAATGGATTAGCTGCTGCCATGTCCTGGACAGGATGGGGTGGCAGAGGGGACGTATGTGCACTGGTTGAGGTTTATTGTATAAGACACCAGGGTCTTAAACCCCTTAGGAGGTACAAGGAGAGTCAAATTGTAGGGAAGTTGAGAGATGAGAACAGAAGCTTAAGGTTAGAATGCAAAAAAAGTAATCTTAGCCAGAATATACACTGCTAGTAGGTAGATCAAACAATACAAGTTAACCATCACAATGTTAGCAACTTGCTTATTACTAAGCTTTGTACTAGGCCTAGAACATGAATTACTGATTTTTAAAGGATTCTAGAGTCTTTAAATTTAAAACTTAACAGTGAACAATTGCTGCTTAACACCTTCTAGTTGTTTGCCCCCTCCCTGGAGGTGTTCAAGGCCAGGTTGGATGCTTGTGCAGCCTGGTCTAGCAGGTAGGTTGGAACCTGATGAGCTTTAAGGCCCCTTCCAAACTTAACCACTCTGATTCTACTATTAAGTGCACTAATAAAGACAATCAATGAGTTAATATCTCTCACCCTTGTCCATCAGAGCTGGATGTCCCTGAGTGGGTCTTAATCCTTGAGAATTAGTCTCTCTGGCACGTGTCCTTGCTGGAGAGGAGAAGGTCCAGCAACCTTCTGGGAAAGTGTACAGGAGTCTCCCAATCTGAGATGGGACCAAGCTTTTATAGAATAAAGTGGATCGACTGCTGTCATTGAACACTTTAGCTGTACCTCCAACATCTCTCATTGGAGAATAAAAGGAAAACAGTAGAAAAACCATGAAGGCCCTGTTCCCACCAAGCAAACTCTTTTGTTTATCTGTTCATTCTTACTTTATCTCCATTTCAGGCATGGTTGTGCCTGGACTGGGCTCCGTGTTCTTCAATACTAGAGAGCAGCTGGTGTTGTGAACATCAACTTGGCTTCTGTTTGTACCTTTCAAGGTTCTTACCAGCTCAGAGCTTTCTAGGCCTTTCCCTTTCTCATGGGAACCTTTCCACTCCTAGGCCTGGGCCTGCAAAACTGAGAGACAAAAAGCAGTTGAATCACAGAGGGAAACTGAGGCAGGCATGGCCCCTCTCCAGCTTTGTGAAGTGCTCTCAGGGTACATTTAGCTACATATTCCTATCTCATGTGTGGGATGCAAGCATCCCAAAAGTGGGTATTTTTGGCAGGAAATCAATGTCATGGTACATGCATCTTCATAAAAGGAGCCAAATGTGTCAGAGAACATATATTTTCTATATTATCCAGTTTCTTTTAAAGGAAAAAAAAAACAACATGCAGCTCTGTCTTTGCTTTCCCAGAGGTATCACACCCCACCTCGGTCACGATCGTGTTCAGAATCTGATGATGATGAGAGCAGTGAGACCCCTCCTCACTGGAAGGAGGAAATGCAGAGGTTACGGACATACAGACCACCCAGTGGAGAGAAGTGGAGTAAAGGAGATAAGTAAGATCCTCACAAAAAATTTTAAACATCTTGGTTTTTGACTCAAAGTTCCGTAGATGTGCCATGTCATTCCTGTATAAAAATAAGTATCTTTGTGGTTAGCACATTCCATTGAAATTCCAAAAGTGGAACACTTTCTGAAAACCTTTCTGCTTTGCTAATGTGACACCAGGTGAACACACTCTGAAAAGTGTCACAAGGTCAGGAGGGTTGTTTCTGATGGTGCCATTTTGGCTACTCATGTAAGAAGTAACATGTTGTCCAGTTTCCTGTTGCTTTCCACAGAGCGAGTCATGCCATTCCTGTAGCCTCAAACTTGGTTATATTGTGTCTTTGGATACGAAATCAGACCATTGAATCCACCAATCCTAGATTGTTTTAATGCCATGTTCTTTCTGCAAGCTTTGTGGGGGAAGCTAGTTCTCCAGAATTCCTTATACCTTGGTGATAAAGAGGAGCTTCTATCACATTACGATAGATAACTTCAGAAGGAAAACTGAAGAATATTATATATAATAATTATTTAATAATTACTAATAATTGAATACTGTTTCTGATAGGTCTTTTTAATATACTATGTTCAGTATATTTCTGTATTGCAGCATATCAGCTTAATACTAAATAAGATGGAGTTTTAATATTTATATTTAAATGTGTTTAAGAATTCTGTAGTTTAAGAGGTGATAGTCCTGTGGACTAGGGTAGTTAAAACATTAAATCTCTTTACACAGGTTCTAAAACATACAAAATTTGCTCTTGTTGGCCAATTAATTTCTTATAGAGAAGCTCTCTTGATAGTGGTGTAATTCCCTCTATCCATCTATTCAGAGGAGTGCAACAAGCTCAGTCACAACACAATTCTCGTCCAGTAAAGTGGGGGGTGTGTGTATGTTAATTCATTTTTTTTTTAAATTAATTGCATTGGAAATGGGATACATCATTTACCTGAAGCTTTTAAAGAATTTCCACTGAGCTTGGGGCTTGTTTGTTCTAGGTTGAGTGACCCATGTACAAGCAGATGGGATGAAAGAAGTGCATCCCGGAGATCAAGGTCTTGGTCACATAACGGTTATTCTGATCTAAGTACTGCCAGATATTCTAGCCATCACAAAAAGCACAGGAAAGAGAAAAAGAAGGTGAAACACAAAAAGAAATCTAAAAAGCAGAAACATTTCAAGAAACACAAGCAAACGAAAAAAAAGAAAACATCAGCCTCATCAGATGTAGAATCCTCTCATTCCTTCCTTAGGAGGAGAAAATCATCTTGTGATCATGAGAGGAAATCTCGTTCTTCTTCACTGTCTTCTAGACATTCATCCAAAAGAGACTGGTCTAAATCTGATAAGGAAGATCAGAGCTCATCAACCTTATCAAGCAGAGGGACTCGATCATACTACAGGTCCAGGTCCAGATCCAGATCTAGGTCTAAATCAAGATCTTATTCCCGGAAAAGTTCTAGATCAAGATCAGCTTCTAAATCGTCACGTTCTCGAAGTAGGTCAAGGTCAAGTTCTAACCCTAGGCATCAAAAGACAGTTTCCAATTCTCCACGCAAGGTTTCAACACGGTTAAATGAAAATAAGCTGAACAAGACTGCTGAGCCTCTAAGAGCAGTTATACTCCCAAGTGAAAAAGTTGTCATACCACCACCAGTTGTCCCGGAAAACCTCCCTGTTATTCCCTTAAGTGATAGTCCACCTCCTTCAAGGTGGAAACCTGGGCAGAAACCATGGAAGCCATCTTATGAACGAATTCAGGAAATGAAAGCAAAAACGACCCATTTAATACCCACACAAGCTAATTACAGTTTAGTGGTCATTAAAGAGGCAAATGCTTCTTCCTCATGTCGCACGCGACAGAGGAGTTCAGAGAGCGACCGAAGCGGTTATTCCAAATACCGTAGCGACAGAAGCTCAGAGAGTTGGCCCAGATCAAGAAGCAGATCCTCTCAAAGTAGGTCATACTCAAGATCTTATACAAGATCTAGAAGTCCATCAAGCTCTAGGACAAAGTCCCATTCTTCTGGCAGGTCACCATCACCAAACAAATACCTCAGCGACAGGTCAGGTTATAGCGAGTCAACGACTTATTATTCCCTCAGTGATGATGATAGGCACAGAAACAAAAGGAAGTCCACATCAAGTGATCAAAAAGCTGGGTCTCTGAAGCTGAGGCAAGAAACAAGCTCTGAAAGTACTCTCCCTTATAAGTGTACAAAAGAGTACGATGAGTCTTCTCAAGGATTGAAAGAGAGTGACAGTTTATCATCTTCAGACTTCTCTACCGACAGCGAGCGTTCTCCCAAAGTGAAAGGAGTCCAAGAAAAAGAAGGTCGTTTTCAATTAGGTGGAGATATTCAGAAAGAGGATAAAAATAGCTTAAGTTCTGAGAGAGGGGAGGAGAAGCCCCAGTGTGAGCGGGGTTCTGATCATGCTAAAAAGAAAGCGGCCAAGGAGAAATCTTCTGAGCAGCCTAGAGGTGGTGCAAAAACTAAACGAAAATCCTATTCAGGTAGTAAATGGGACTCAGAATCGAATTCTGAAAGAGGGGAGGCAAGGCTTAATAGGGCAGATTCCAGACCTTCCTCTAGTAAAGAAGAAGGAGAAGCCACATCAGGATCTGACACAGAGCTCAGTGTTACTAAAAGGATAAAAAAATCAAATTCTTCAGGTTTTCTGGATTCTGATTGCACGTGGAAGACTAGCAAACACTTGTCATCTTCTGAATCTGAGAGTTGTTCTTCTAGCTCAACAAATGTGAGAGGAAAGTCCAAAAAACACAAACATGGATCAAAAAAAACTCTCAAAAAATCACATTCCAAAAAAGCAAAAGAAAAATCCAAAGGGAAAAATGAGAAGAAACACAAAGTTCAGAAAAGAAAAGAAATGTTTCATTGGCAGCCCCCCTTGGAGTTTGGTGAAGAGGATGATGATGATGAGATAAATGAAAAGCCAGTTACGAAGGATGATAAAAAAGAAAAGCAGCTTATCGTGGACATAAAGGATAAACAGGTTCATGAAAAGGATGAAATGGTTAAAGATAAAATGGGAAACAGTGAAAAGCCCAGTGTGGATGAAAACCTTTTAGGTAAAAGCACTACATGTGATGCCTCACCAGATCATAGCAGCCTGAATAAAGATAGCCTTGAAACAAATGCTTCAACCAGTATTGTAAACTCAGGAATAAATGTCACCCCTTGCAAGAACGAGATGAAACAAGCTGAAGAAAGTAACCAGAATGGATTGGAAGATGTTATTCAGACAGATGACAACATGGAGATTTGTACTCCAGATCGTAACTCGCCAGGGAAGGTTGACGTGGACATTTTGTCTCCTGTCATTCTCACTGCTAAACCTCAGGCTTTAAGTGCTAGTATAAACAAAGATTTACAGCATGAAACCCCCGAACAAGATGCTGTCAAACTAGGAAACAATTTTATAGATATTCTTACTATTAGAGAAGAAAAAGAAATGGGAAGGCAAGAAAATAACTCTGTCCCCATGTCTAGTGCTAAAGACTGTAGTTCAAAAAGTGAATTTACTGAAAACCCACAAAGCAATATGATAGATAACAAATGGAAGCCTTTGCAGGGCATTGGTAATCTACCACCAGCCTCAGTTAGTGCTGCCACAGAAGTTAAAAATGCAGCTTCAGCACCAGAGCCTAAACCAGCAGGTTTAAGAATTGAAATAAAAGCTAAAAATAAAGTAAGGCCTGGATCTCTGTTTGATGAGGTTAGAAAAACAGCAAGGCTAAATCGAAGGCCAAGGAACCAAGAAAGCTCCAGTGAGGAAGAATCTCCAAGCAGAGATGACAGCAGCCCGTCCAGGAGTCTCAGCAGGTCACGAAGTAAATCTGAATCTAAATCCAGGCACAGAACAAGGTCCCTGTCTTACAGTCACTCAAGAAGTCGATCCCGAAGTTCTACATCTTCCTACAGGTAAGAAGCTTGTGCTGTTCCCACAGCCCACCCTGTTACCTTGAATGCTTTGCTGAGTGCTGTTGAAGAGGGTCCAGAGGAGGCCATGAAAATGATCCGTGGGCTGGAGCAGCTCTGCTCTGGAGCCAGGCTGGGAGAGTTGGGGTTGTTCAGCCTGGAGAAGACAAGGCTCCAGAGAGACCTTAGAGCACCTTCCAGTGCCTGAAGGGGCTACAGGAAAGCTGGGGAGGGGCTTTTCATCAGAGAAGACAGTGATAGGACAAGGGGTAATGGTTTTAAATTGGAAGAAGGGACATTTAGGTTAGACATCAGGAAGAAATTCTTCACTATGAGAATAGTAAGGTGCTGGGACAGGTTGCCCAGGGAGGTTTAGGAAGCCTCTTCCCTGGAGGTGTTGAAGGCCAGGTTGGATGAGGCTTGTGCAGCCTGGTCTGGTGGGTTGTGTCCCTGCTCATGGCAGGGAGGTTGGAACCTGATGATCTTTCAGGTCCTTTCCAACCTTCAGCATTCTATGATTCCACAAAATTTTCAGGGCATGTTTTTCTTTTTCAACCCATGTTTTTCTTTCAAACATCACTGTATCATGTAGCAAGTATGGAATCAATATTTAACTTCAAAGTTAAAGCCTTATAATACTTCAGTGTCCTATTTTCTGCTGCTCTGCTCTTCAGTTGTGTTCTGTCTGGTGCTTTTCAAAGTTATTCAATGATTGTAGGTCAAGAAGCTCTACAAGAAGCCGAAGCAGAGGGTGGTACAGTCGAGACTGGTCCAGAAGTCGAAGTAGTTCTTACCACAGTTACAAGAGTCGCAGGTAAGTTTCTCTGACTGTGTTTGGTGTGTACTGTAGTGTGCACTGTTTGGCAGCGTTGGGTTGTACTGTAAAAGCAGCACATTAGGTACAGCTCTCTGCTGCTTCAGCCTCTGAACTTCAAAGTTGCTTTGCAGTGCAAGTTGGAATAGTCAGATTTCAAGATTTTGGTACTGAAAAAGTAACATTCTTTAGTGTTTTGTAGTATGGATAAGGAATTCTGAGGAAAACACCTTCCTCTCCTCTCACTCCCACTCTCCCCCTGCTCCCCAGCACTTGTTTAACTTCAAATGTCTGGGTTTTTTTGTTTTCTCAGTCGAACCTACAGTAGAAGTAGATCCAGAAGTAGCTCTTACGGTCATCACAGTCGATCCAGGTATGGATTATGATTTTGTACCAACTCTGCAAAAAATGTACTTGTATAAAAATACCTTAGTATAAGACTCTCTCTTTATGATGCTTATAATATGATCCCAACTTGAATCAAAGCAGAATCAGCCTAAGGCACGTGTAAAAGCTGGAAGTAACCAAATCATCCTGGCAGCTAACAAAGAGTGAACACCTTTTCTTTGATAGTTGAAATAAAATCAGGTTATAAATGGTGTCATTTTGTTACTTGTTTTCAGAAGTGCAGGCAAACAGGGGTTTTATTGCATCTACAGTTTGTAGAGAAAGCACAAAGCTTTAATTTACCAAGCACTTTATTTTCATTTTGTTTTTCTAGATGAATGTCACTTTTACTTTTGTTTTGAGGAGACCTGTTCTTGTATTTCAACTCTCATAAAACATAGAATTATTCTATTGGCCGCGTCCCTGAAAAGTAATGTTATGTAGTCACTCATCTCTGTATATAAATGTTTTTAAATCATAGATTTTAACATAAATAGTGTTTTAGACAAGAAATTGTACATTTACAGTTACTTTCTTCTCCCTTTAAAGTAGGTCATACACGTATGATAGTTATTACAGCAGAAGTCGCAGCAGAAGTAAAAGGAGTGACAGTTATCGAAGGTCTAGAAGTTATGACAGGAGATACAGGTACGTTTTTGACACTGTATTCATGCAAAAGAATTTCCTAAATACATACTTAGGGTGTACATGAAGACTAATGCTTATTTGTTTTTCCCTCAAACCCCCCATTGTTTCCAAAAGTAATAATTAAAAAGAATTATGATTAGAGCAAGGGTGTGAGTGAGGAAATCAGAATTTCTGACATACTGAACTTGAGGATGGGGAATTAATTGTATGTATGCATTCAAAATAAGCATGTTTGGGTTTTTTAAAATAATTTTCATTGTTTCTTAAAAGCTATAGTGAACTAGATCTCAGGCTTAAAATCAAGTGCCCTGTTATGGATTAAAAACCTGGTATGCAAAGAATCCCATTGGATGCTAAATTCTTTTTGGTTAGACTGCAAAAGTGGATTTGAAAGAAATAGCTGGAAGGGAAATTAAAAATTGCAATGCTATCCAAAATTAATGTTTTAACTTCCTAGAACATATTTTGAAAGAGCATTTTATCTGCAAGTCCAATGTGCTTCAGATGATTTTAGGAGAAATTTTATTCTACTCAGTCCAGGGGAATTACGTAGGTGTAAGTGAGAAGGTGTCACAAAGCCCAGAAGTGGAATGATGGGGGGGATGGGGGAGTTTATATATAATATCAGTGATTATTTGTTTTGAACCTTGTAATATGTCCCACGTTAGTCAGTGATAAATCAGTCAGGTCTCTAAGACTACTGTAAATTTTCATCCTCTGCTGTCCTTGTACTCATTTTTTCACAACTTTGTAGCAAAAAGGACTTTTACCTATTTCCCCATCTAGTTCTGACAGTAAGACAACTTTCATCCTGTGTTTGAGAGGAAATGATGGAGATGAACCAAGAGTGTGGAAATAAACTCACCAATTCATTGTTTTTGGATGTTGGGAAGCTTCAGAGAAACAAGGATTGGATTAGGTTATGCTCAGGTTTCATTTAGAAACTTTCCTCACAGGAACAAGGCTAGAAAATCTGTAATGAAAGTTTATTCTGTCTAATTTGAGTGTGTCCTGTGGCTTGTCTGAAACCATCTGGACTCTTGTCTTGATGCTTGGCCAGGTGCTGAGCTTGGAATTCTGCTGGTTAAGCCAAAACATTTTCATCTACAACTTCCACTCAGCAGTCACACACTCCTGTTGCTGTTAAGGGGCCTGATTCTTCGGCTGTTTCTTCAAACAAAAAAATTGCAGTGTAGAAAGCAAGGATTTGCGAAATTATCTGAGTTGAGAAATGCTTGCAATATAAAATACTGGTTAGAATCTTGTCCATCTTGGCAGCGTTTTTACATGATGCAGTTTTGAAGTTCAAAATAATGATTTTTGAGGCATTTTCATCTTTTCTTTGTAGATCTTACGGCTCTGACAGCGAAAGTGATCGCAGTTACTCTAACACCAGTCCCAGTGGAAGCAGCAGATACCGCTGAAAACATGTCTTTGATGATGGAAACTGTGCTTAATCATTTTTTTTTCAGTGTTATGTTTAAAAACACCCTGTTGTGACAGTGTCCCAAGTGAAGTTGAAGGGTGTTTACTGAGTTAACTGAAACGTTGCTGTTTCACAGTGAACTCAACTGACTGTGCCCTCACAGAGGGAAGTAACTGAGCTCAACTGACTTTCATTTTTATGTCAAATGCTACTTTTACAAAATAGGAAAAAAAAACTCAACCCTCAAACAGTTTTATTTCCTTGAATTGCATTTTCCAAGCCATGAATGACACTTAGGTGAATTTGCTGCCACCACTTCTCTGGGTGCAGCCATCAGGGCTGTCTTTCAAGTTGTTAAAACACCTTAGGGCTTTCTGCCTGTTCCTGCTAAATCTCTGCTAGCAACTGTACAACTGTGAAGAAAAAACTTCTTACAAAGGCAGCCATTTCTGGTGTATTAAAATGCTTTTTGTAAATGCTGGAAGATGGGCTCCCTGCTGTCTTGTATGTGAATTATTGCATAAATACAGTATTTACACAACATCTGGGTGATGAAAACAAAGACTGCCACTCTGTCTTAATCCTGGGAATTATCACACTGACAAGCAGTGAGCAAAAGTGTGATGAAGGAGTTTCAATCACAATCTCCAACTTGTCTAAACTTCTGTGTTTCAAATGGAATTTTGTGATAAACAGCAATGTTCTGAAGAGTCTAAAAAAAAAAGTGTTTCTAAACACTTTTTGCAGTTAATTTTGATTCATATTACAGTGCTTGGCATACTCAGGCACATTTTGAAGTTGTGTGTTGTAAACTGTTGAGTATATCATGAGTTTGTTCAAAGCACTTTTTTAAACCTTAATGTAATGATAGTTGTTGTTTGTTTTTTTTTGAGAAAACAAACCATAATGGTTCCTTTATAAAATGACTGTAGATGTATCCCACTTACTACAGGGAATATCAGATATTGATACTGCAGATATTGATCTATATATTATTAAAGTGATACAAAAAAAGAAAATACTGTATGCCTGATGAAAAAGCATGGACAATACTTTAAAGTTTAATACCAAAAAATGATGCCATGTTCCAGGTAAATGGATTGCAAAAAAAACCAACAAACCCAACCCATAGAATTAAGCTGAAGAGCGTTGAGTAATTTTTGGAATATTCTGAGTTGATTTTTTAAAGAATTTGTAAAGTTTTTTTTCAGTGTTTGCAAACTTCAGAAACAGTTTTAATGGCATTATGAGACCTGGAAAGGGGGGTCTGTGCTGAAAAAACAGACTGACTTAGCTTGATTAGAGCTAATTAGTACTGTTGTATTATAACAGTTTTCATTACTGACTTTCTGTAATACCTTGACATGTTTTCATTTTCTCAAATGTTTTCAAATATTGAAAATGATGATTTTTTTTAAGTCTCATCAGGACCCAACAGCTTTGAAAATTAAAAGTGGTGATTTCTTGCTTAGATGCCAGTTCATCTTGTCTCTTTTGGCTGAATTAAGCTCTCCAAAATTAGCTTTTTGGTACTTCTGAAACGTGGAAGTTCAAAGATAGGTTTGAAGGCTGCAGTGATGCCCTCCATTTCTGTCCATGAGTAAGACATTTGGACACAGGTTCCTAAAACTAATTGGTCATACAGATGTTTCACTTTCTAGAAGAATCCAAAATTCTGGATTTCCTACTCTTGTAGTTCAATGAAGAAGTATGTTCATGTAACCCTTTCAAATCAGTATTTTGGAAGCTGCTTATGCTTTTTAAGTACATTTATTCCTCAAGTCCGTATACACTTCTGGACACATCTCTAACAGTAGCAGCTATTTCAGAGTTCTGAACAAATATTTCCTTGCTAACTCAAGGTAATGTTTGTTGTAGTTCAACCTGTTTTTTTCCCTTGCTGAGAAAATAGAGCTAGTAGGCTAGTGGTGTAACAAAATATACTAATACAAACATTGCCATATAATACTTATTAGAGAGAAAATTCCTCCAGAATCAGACATTTATCATATCTTGTATCTGAGTTGACTTTTTAAGGTAAAGGTAATAGAATCAATTAATTGTAGTTGCCTAAAACTACTGCAGTGTCACTGATGTCTGTTTCAAATCCTGAATTCAAGCCTTGTAAAGCAATTTCATCTGGTAGATGGTTCAGGGAGGGATGTGATGGCAGGACAGAGGGGAGTATTTTTATTTAGTGAAGTTATGAAATTGTGCTTTGGATAAGAAATGCACCCCTGAGCTCATTTTCTATTCTCTATGTTTTTGCAATTTTGTTATTCAAAAATAGTTGCTGTTTGTAAAATAAACTTTTGTACATATCTGCAGATGCTGTTTTCTCTACATCTGGAAAAAGCTGTGGCTGCTTCAGGGAAACAAGCAGGAAAACTAAAAATCTCCTTCAATTTCTACATCAGCTTTTATCCCTTTCAAGGCTACACACAAGATGCTTTTCTTTTTTCTGACCTACGTGGAGCCTGATCCCTCAGCACAGCTGGGCTGGGCTTACAAAATAGTTATTGGAGGGGCAAATGGTTTGAAATTTCCATGTGATTTGAGGTTGTCACCATTTTCTCAAGATGCACAAAAAGTTCCTGTCCTGTGTGAGAAGCTGCACTTCCCAGATCTACATGGAAATCCCCCAATGGGCTGAATTTTAACTGCTTTGCTAAATATTCTTTCCCAAATACACATTCCCACATCGTTTCTGTAACATACTGGAAATGTGGTATTAGTGCAAGTCAGCAGATGTGATGGCTCAGCAGTCTAATCTATTAGTCTGTTAGACCTTCTGTTGCAGAAAAAAAAAAATTGGTTTTGTTGAAAAATGCTGGCTTTTTCCTAGTGGGAATGCTGGTTCCTGGAGTTTGTTTAAGGTGAAGAGGAAAAGTGGAAGGTTTCCTTGTTGAATTATCTTCAGCCTGAGCCAGTTAACCTGGCATTTCCCAGACGTGGGAACACTGCCTTTGAGGAGGAAGCACAAGAAATCCTAGGCAGGAAAAGTAGGAACTCTAGGGACTATGTGCTGTATTTTTTTAGGCAAAAGTTAAGTGTAATTTGAGGTAGAGGGAGACTCAGTGGCTGCCTCAGGGTCATCAGACACACAGCAGCGGAAGAACCTTCACACAAAGTGTTGCGCTGCAGCATGAAAGAGTCTGCCTGTCTTTTAAACAAAACAATCTTGGGTTTTTGTGCATAAAACCCCTCCATCTTCTGTTCAGAAGTCAAACATCAGGGGGAGGGGGCTGCTCTCGGGTGCTGAGGACCTGCTGCTGTCGAGGTCAAGCTGTCACCTTGAGCCCGAGTGCCGGGAGGAGGCTGGAGCTCACGGCGTTAAAAATAGAGCAGCTGACACCTGGTTATGTATTGCTCATTAGTGACAGTTTTCTGTTAAAATAAGCCTTAAACCCTGCAATGGAGTAAAGTTATTACACAAGTATAAGTGGTTTCATAAAAAAAATAATTGGGAGGGGCAACTTCTAAATAAGATTAGGTGTGGTCTTTGGTTGTTTTGGCAATAGAGTGCCCAGAATGTTGTGGTGGGGAACAGCAACCTTTTTGTCCCCAGCTGCAGGTGAGTGACTGAGCTTGTCTAGAATAAGACAATTTGAAATGAACCATCTGGCCATCAAACAACAAATACAGCACATATTTACAAAGCAACAGCATAAATGTCTGTCAGCGTGGGGAGGGATTTCCTTCCCACTGCATCACTTTGAAGCAAGGGCTGTTTGTGTCCTTGCACTGCGGGGCACGCAGCGTGCAAAGTGCTCTTTCAGGACATCACCAAGTATCTGACAGTGTATTAAATTTCTGTCGAGGGCTTTGTGTGGTTCGTGGTGATCATGCTTACAGTTTGGAGCAGAACACAGTATGTAGATGACCTTGAGCTGCACTCTGGAATCCATCTGGTGTGATTTCCAAACGGAACGCTGCCTGGGATTTAAATCGGGAGAAGATAAAGCTTTGCTTGTCCCACCCCTGCTCAGCATCCACATAAATACTTTAATTTCTATAATATAGTTGTGAAACAGTCATGCTTTTCCACCTGCTTTTAAAAGATATTAGCTGCTGAACTGTGGTAAGTTCACACTGTTTAAAAACTGTATAAATAATTAAAGGGACCCAGTCTTGAATTTAATAAAAGTCTATGTGACCCCCCTGAAGTAGATAGGATTGCATGGGTGCAATCAGTCTGTCAGTTTGGGATGTTGTGGGTTTTTCTTAATGAAGGTGGCATTTCAGAGTGACAGTGGGGTGGGCATTAATTTGGTGTTAATTGGTATTTCTGCTGTGACGAGTATCTGCCCTTGAAAAGAGCATGGTGCAGCCCAAGAAATCCCCTGTCCTGACCCAATGGTCTGACATGGAGAGGGCTGAGCTCAATGCAGCTTGTGAACACTTGCAGCTCCCACCCTAGCATTATGTCCAAGTCTTAAGCTGCAAAATTCCTTGATTAATTCCTTAATTCAGGCAGGAAGGGGCTGCCCTTCCTCTTGGGCTTTCTTTTTCTTCCAGCTCATTGTGCACCCTCTGAAAGGACAAGGCAGAGTTTTCCCCTCTCCCACTGCCTCAGCCACCCAACCCATCACTTGGGCAACATCTGCATGACTTCTCCCTGATGCATTTTGGAAAATGAACCATGAAAAGGCTGAGGAGGATTGGGAAGGTCCTCAGGAATGGAAGGGGGTAAGGAGCTGATGGCTGTGCTTCCAGGGAGAAGCACCCCACTCTTGTGGGAATGTACTGGTGAGGGGATTCAATCGACAGAGCTTTTTGGGTCGTCAAGTGCTGGTTGAAGAAAAACTGTTTAAGTAAATATGAAGAAGTCCATTCTATTGAGAGCACTGGACATTTGGTGTAAGAAAAGCTTTTTCTCTTAAATTAATGTAGCTTTGTGGAGTTTGTATATTTGCTGTCTCTGAGCTTCAAGGGAGGAGGAGGCAAGTGCTTCCCTGGCAAACCCCCACCCTCAGTGTCCTCTTGATGTGGCCAAAC